CAAATGCTTTAACGGAAAAACTTTTCCATTAAAAGCATTTGCGGAAAATCATGCCAGTCTAGACGTAGCCATATGTGTCTGTGTGTATTGTACAACCTTTTCTCCTCCTTCGACATAGAATCCCCATAGGCTTGAAGGGGAATCTCTGCTATCCTTCACCAGGGGCACTGCAAAGCAACTGAATTATTATTGCTACAGGAACCATCATTTTGAAGTGTCTGGACTAGTCTCTGACCTTACTTACAGTAATGAAAACCCAGAGTCACTGCAGGGGTCTCGATGGATTTACACTGGTTTAGAACTATTACTGTGGATTTAAACAGAAGTAAAAAATCAGACACATGACATCAGCATTTAATTATACACCGTGGACCCAATCCTGCAAGCCGTCCGTGCATGGAAGGCCTATTCAATGACTGTTATTTGCAAGGATGTCTTATAAGATTGGACACTTTGGCTACATCTATACTGCAAGGCTTTTCCCCAAAGGAAATGCAAATGGAGTGCTTATTTGCATATGTCATGCTCGCATTTTCATTTCCTCCTCAGATCTCTTTTGCACAAGAGGTTTTTGCGCAAAAAAGAGCTGGGTAAATGACTCCTTTTTATGCAAAAACCCCCTTTTGTACAAGAGCTGTTCTTCCTCAGAAAATGAGGAAGAACGGCTCTTCTGCAGAAAAGCCTTGCAGTATACATGTAGCCATAGTGTACTAAACATGGATTGACTGACTTGTGTAGTAAATTAAGAGGCTAATGTATAATGTTTGATTTGATGCCAGTGATTTCACTGTGGAGCAGAGATTAAACCATTTCCTCCTTTCCCCACTGGATTCTGTATACAGTTTTTATCCATGAGAATTACTATGGGAATTTCATTTATTCGGTGTTTCTAACGTGCTTCATTCTGCAGTTTGTAGGGATTTTTATGAGTCATAGCCACACATTACAATCTGGCAGATCTCCATGGACTAAAATTCAGTCAGGTAAAGGCATATAGTCACACTGAATATGACTGTCGATATTCATTCTGTCCTACCTTTATGCTTCTCTAGAGTTCCTCTAGTATTTTTAGCCCTGTTACATCGTGAGATACTTGGCTTCCTTGTGTTTAGCGAGACCTACTTTGGAATTCAAACACTAATTGCTGTTTCTGGTTTTTCTAAAGAATTAGTAAAGCAAAATACTCTGCCTTTTCTGATCTAGATAGACCTTACCATGTGCAAAAAGAGGTACTTACTGGCAAGTTGGAACACAGCAGCTATGGCTTCTTCCCACCACTGGGTATCCTGTGGAATAATAGGCAGTTCCACTAGACCCAAGACGAAAATGAGCTGACCAGCAGTCAAGGCGACAGTAGCAATAAGGTTACAGGCCCGCATCATGTCAAATTGCACTGTGGGGGACACACACAGAGAGAGGAAGAGCATCATCATAAAATGAAATCTTGGGGCTTGAGAATACCACACCAAGAAGCAGCCGAGTTGCCTGCCCCTGTAAAAATGCCTCCGAAGCTGCATGTTTGCTAATTACATCCTGACTTATGCAAACGCTTACTCTGATCTACATTCTTGATTAGGCTATCTAAGAACAAATTGCTTTTTAAGTTACAAAGAAATCTCATAATCTGTTCCAGGCAGACAGCCCTTGTACATAAAGCAGATAGTCAGTTTTCAGGAATAGCCTTCCAAAAAAGAATAAATATTTGTCGTTTTGGTTGCTCTGTCCATAATTATAAGCACCAACTTTTGGGGTACAGGCCATCTTTTTGTTCTGTGGCTGTACAGCCCCTAACATGGCATCAGTAAAGCACATCCTAACTCCCAAGGCAAACTCACTGCTTTCAACTAAATTTCTTTCTCAGAGTGTAATAATGTTGCATTTGAAACCAGCTGATGAGCTAATGCCTGCATGGCCCTTGTTTAAGGAGGAGCTACAGGTAGTGCACTGTGGGAGGGATTCTCCGCTAATAAAATGTGCTCTTTGTCCTGGTCTGTCAGAGGCCAAGTTTATTAATTTACCGCAAAACTCCTCTCATTTTTGGATATTTGAGCCAGGGAGTCCATTGAGGGACTAAAGTTCAGTTATTTGTGGGGTTGTTGCAGTTTTCTTGCAGTACAGTATACAGAGTGTGCAGTCGTGTATTTGTGTATGCAGTTAGAACGATAGTTGTACTGTGCAGTATTGCAATATTTGTATATTACAACACACATCACAAATATAGAATTAATTATGGCTATAAATATTTGGAGGCCAGGATAGGCACTTGAGAAGAAATGAACACATTTCCTAGCTGATTACTGAACAGATTGTATTCCGCGCTGTATTTTACTACTTTTAGTCAGGTTGATGGTGTTTTTCTTCTTCTTTTCCTGTTAGCATGAAGGATGTCCTGTTTTCATCTTTTTCCTTCCTTTCTAGCTAAAGGTGGGCTTCATAAATGTCATGGTGCCAACACAGCGTCCCTTGATAATGCGCCACTGCTGCTCTGAAGTAGGAAGGGCTTACTGTGTAAATGGCCACACTTTGGAAAGGAAAATGTTTTCACTGGCAGCAAATGTGAATCTTCACCAGCATTGTCAAAGTTTTCATGGTTGGTTAGGAATGGACTGTGTGGATACACTGGATGCTAGGATCTGAGATTTCCTATGTAATGAAAGTGCCATGGAGGAGTTAATTCTCAGCTATTGTTTCCCCCGTGTTACATTTCCCCAGACATTTTTGGTAACAAGATTTCACGGTTTTACAGTGGCTTGTTCCCAGGTCTCACCATTTATTTGTTGGGTTCTGACAAATATGAGATGTGTGGGGCCAACACTTCACATTACTCTGGAGTGAAACTAGGAAATTTGTTGAGAACTAACAATACTTAGTGGAGTCCAATGAAACATGAACCACTGTGAAAGTCATAAAATTGGGTTTAAAAATGAGTGCTTACCAAAATCTATTGTGAAGTATAGTGAAACCCTCACATGAATGCCCAAGAATAAAAGAAACTCTTCTAAAGACATAAAGATAACCTGCACAGTGAAAAGGGGTTTTGTGCCTCTCTGTTTATTAATGCTATACTAAAAAGGCATGAAAGTCTTTAACTCACAAAGGGAGAGGTTTTTTGGGTTGTGTCTTGTTTTTTTTCCTGCTAGTTTGTTTCTTGTCCACAGGCATCCGCTTCCTCCTTGCCCCAGGGGTGCTCAACCCCTGCCACATCCCAGGTCCCACCCCTATTCCATCCCTTTCCCCAAGCCTCTATCTCACCCCACCTCTTCCCACCCTGTTCTGCCTTCTACCCTGAGCACACCTGGTCCCCTCTCCTCCCCCTCCCACCAGTGTTTCCTGCATACTCTTGAAGGCTAAGATCATGTGTAATGTCTGTTCTTATCAATTTAATATCTGATACATTCTCTATGGGTAAGTCTACATTGCAAAGTTAATTCAAAATAGCAGCCGTTATTTCAAATTAACTTCAATAGCGTCTATACATGCAAACCACTATTTTGAATTTAATTCAAAATAGCGGAGCGCTTAATTCAAATTTGGTAAACCTCATTCTACGAGGAGTAACGCCAAATTCGAAATAGCTATTTTGATTTAAGTGCTGTGTAGACACTTAATTCGAAATAGGAGGCCTCCAGCCCTTCCCAGGGAGCCCTGGTGGCCACTCTGGGCACAACCAGGAAAACTTACTCTCCTCTCCCCCAGCCCTGGAGCCATTCAAGGGATAGACTCTGACCACAGTGCCTGTGCCAGCTCCAAGCCTGGCAGCCCAGAGCCAGCAGTCACTGCCCTGACCCAGTGGCCCCAAAACATAAGCCAGCAAGCCACTGGCAGCCAGCCCTCCACCACTCCCCAGGAGCAGTCTGCCAGCTCCAGGAGCTTTTAGTCCCCTTTTTTGTGAAGAGAAGGAAGGCAGTTTCAAATAAAGGTACATGCTTTAACATGGGATTGTCCTGACTCTACTCACATTGGTGTAATTAGCAGGTATATGGAGCAAGCCAGCTCCCAGGGACAAGTTTTCCTACCTTGTGTTCACATTTCTGGTCAATGGACAGTTGGGCCCCAAAAAAAAAAACCAAAAAAGCCACTGGCAGCCAGCCCTCCACCGCTCCCCAGGAGCAGTCTGCCAGCTCCCAGGAGCCTGCCAGGGGCTGGAGAAGGCAGGCGCTGTCCCTCATCGAGGTAGATAAGCAAGCAGAGAACCCTGAGAACTGTCTGTCTGGAGTGGGGGTAGGGTCCCTTTAATCATGGAGCTGAGATAGCCTCAGGCAGCAGCCCCACACACTAAGTCCTAACCTGATGCCCTGCTGGCACTGGTTCCGGCCAGCCTTAACTTCGGTTCAGGGTCCACTCAGTGTGGACACACTATTTGGAAATAGCAAAACGCTATTTCGAAATAGTTTTTGTGTATAGATGCGTTATTTCGAATTAGCTTAATTTGAAATAACTATTTTGAATTAAGTTAACTCGAATTAACGCTGTAGTGTAGACATACCCTATGTGAGAACTGGATATGGAATGGATTTTTGCCCCAGGGATTGGGAACAGGAGCTTGCTCCGTCTACTCCGTGCATCCGCCTGGTATTGCAGAACAGCTGATCACTGCAGGTGAAAGGTGCTGGGACGGAGGAGGAGGAGTTCATTGGCAGGGGATGTCAGCAGGCAGGAGATACTGCGGGGAGGAGCTGGCTGCAAAGCTCTTACTGTTTTTTTCTGTGAGTGCTCCAGGACTCCAGGAGAATCCACCGAGTTAGCGCCTGTGATCTTGCCTACCTTGTTTTTCCTGGAAGAATCCCTGGATGATTGGAAAACCAATAGCACAATTACTAAGGAAGAGAAAGCAACTGAGAAGCAAAGGGGATTTTAGTCGGAATATTTGAAATGGTTTTTGTTTTATGTTTTTATTAACATCTGTTTAACCCAAATGCCTCACATGTTTGCAAGAAATTCAGCACCCTGCAACTTCAGTAATAGTCTAAGAAAGCTCCCAGCCAATTCCCTTGTATGTCAGACCAAAGGTCCATTTAGCCCAGCATCCTGTCTGCCGACAGTGGCCAATGCCAGGTGCCCCCAAAGGGTATGAACAGAACACGGAATCATCAAGTGATCCCTCTCCTGTCACCCATTTCCAGCCTCTGACAGAGGTTAGGGATACTGTTCCTACCCATCCTGGCTAATAGCCATTGATGAACCTACCCTCCACGAATCTATCTAGCTCTTTTTTGAATCCTGTTAAAGTTCCAGCCTTCACCACATCCTCTGGCAAGGAGTTCCACAGGTTGACTATGTGCTGAGTGAAGAAAAACGTCCTTTTCTTTGTTTTAAACCTGTTACCTATTAATTTCATTTGGTGACCCCTAGTTCTTATGTCATGGGAACAAGTAAATAACTTTTTCTTATTCGCTTTTTCCAGACCAGTCATGATTTGATAGACCTCCATCATATCCCCGGGCTGTTTGAGCTGCTTGCTCCTGCGTGGCAGCCCGGCTGAGTGGCTGTCTATGAGCTTCAGCTGTCCCCTGCACCATTTCTCTTCACCCCAGCACTGATCCTGCAAATGTTCTCCACCTGCCCCGCCCACCCCCCGGCCAGGGTCTGTTCTCTGCCAGGGGCGGAGCCTGAAGCCGCTGTCACGCTGCATGTCACCACCCCGCCCCCCTTCTCCTCCCGCCGTGGCACTCGGCTGACTTCTGTGCTACTCAGCCGGGCCGCTGCGGGGGAGCAAGCGGCCGTTTGAGATGACCTTATTACTGGATTAATATAAGACATATATTGTATATAGAATCATATATATATAGTAGCTCAATGCCTGTGACTCTATAACGCTGAAACGCTGCTGTTCCCCTTTGGGCGGCACTGTTGCCTCCCGCCGTGGCACTCAGCTGACTTCTGGGCTGCTCAGCTGGGCCTCTGCAGGGGAGCAAGCAGCTGTTTGGGCTCCCCCGCAGCAGCCCAGCTGAGCGGCACAGAAGTCAGCCGAGTACCACGGCAGGAGGCAAAGGGGGGCAGAACGATGACGTTCACGGCCACGGCGGAAGGCAACAGCGCCCCCCAGACGGAACAGCCAGCATTTCAGCATTACAGAGTCACAGACATTGGGATACTATGTATATGAAGTTGCCTGAAAGTGAGAACAGATGTTTGCATGGCACTATTGTAGTCAGTGTTGCAAGATGTTTACATGCCATAGATGCTAAAGATTTTGTATTATTTTAATGCAGTTTTTTTGTACATAATTCTACATTTGTAAGTTTGTCTTTCGTGATAAAGAGATTGCACTACTGTACATGCATGAGGTGAATTCAGAAATACTGTTTTTGTTTTTTACAGTGCAAATATTTGTAGCTAGCACACTTACTTAATAGGGTTGCCAGGTGTCCGGTATTCATCCGGAAAATCCGC